GCCGGGGGTGCAGGGTCTGGAGGTCTGGGGGCTGCCCGAAGCCGGTAGCGCTTGGGCAGCTGTTTCATGGCTGGGAGGGAGGAGGGGGAATGCGGGGGCTCAGGGGAGGGGGCGGAGTTGGGGCGGGGCCAAGGCCCTGTGGAGTGTCCTCTTTTTTTAATTTTTAAATATGGTAACCCTACTCTCCAAAGTAAACAGTGTTCTGCTATAACTGGAGCTGAACAGTTTTGGTGGCTTTTCTCTTCACGTTTTCTGCTGGTAGAGGGGACTGGGACCACATCTTTGCTCTCCAGGGGAGCTGTAACGGAATCCAGCAATGGTGTCATGATCCAATCCCCTTAGAAGCCAATGGAAAGACTCCCCCTGACTTCAGTGGGAGTTGGATAGGCCCTTGATCTCTGTTGCTGCTGCTCAACTCCTACAGAAAGTTACGTGCTGCGGGTCTGGGGGAGCAGAGGGAATAAGGCAACACGCTAAGGTGAAATTTGCTCCCCAAGGGACCCAGGGAACAAATAGCAGTGGAATCAATTCCCTGAAACCAAGGGAAGCACCACAGTCTACTCCTTCCACCATCCTAGCCCGAGGAGCAACAGCCAATTCCAGTGCATAAAACTTCAGTGTCTGCTGTTGCAGGCTTGCACCCCTGACCATCACTTCTGGCTGAACAGGTAGAAATATTAATATGTGTAATAGGGTTTATTCATTCCAAGTTGGGTTCCTTGATGGAATAAGTTCACTTTCAGTGAAGGAAGATCGATTTGGTGCTTAAATAGGTTACATGTCCTTATTTTCCTGAGCTTTAAAAATCAACACTTTCTTGCATCAAAATATATACATTGTAGATAGGAAATGTATGGGGAGTTTGGAAAGGCCAAACCATTAGTTTTCAGGAGCTACCATCAGCGTGTGTTTTTTTTTTAACACTTGCCAGACCAGTTCAACAGACCTAGTTACATGCTGCTTCTTGGACTAAAGATCAAGCCTGCATATCAGTTCATTTTCAGAACTGGAGAATTTGTCCTTGTTGAAAATAACTTTTGTAGGTAGTTCCTCTAAGGCATCTTTTAATATCTGTCTCATAAATGATTTTTGCAAGACTTCATATTGTCTCAGAATTTTGTTTTAAACACACAGAAAAATATGATAACTTACCTGTAAGCAATCTACTAATGTACGTGAATCACTGTGCCACCCAGGAAATCCTCATGGTTTTTCTAACTACTTTAAAGTGTGTCTGGCCTAATATTACAGGTATTTTGATTCCAAGCTGTCTGGGGCAGGGACAATTATTTGCTGTGTTTCTACAGTGCTTAGCACAATGGCTTAGTAACCTGGGTGAGGCCTCTACGTCCTATCCCAGTACAGATGTTTAATTGCTATATGTCTATCCATATGTCTGGAAGGAGGAAATTTTTCCTTAGCAATATCTCTTCCCTTTGTGGCAATACAAATATTAATCAGTTGGGAGCACACATTTTGAAGAGGTGTGACTTAAATGTTTTATCACATCTGTATGCAACTGTGATTAGTGCCCTGCTAACACAGTTGTAGACTAGCTTAATATGCAGAACAACAAGGAAAATGTTGAAATTGCTAGTTTGGTTTTTCAAGATCCCAAGAATTAACTGACATATATCTGTGAAACAGTTCATCTGTGCTTAGGTATAGAAATAATGTGCACAAACAAGAAGCCTCTCCAGTTTCCTCAGGGTAGTGAATCTTTCCTCAGGGTAGTGAAACCTATTACAAACATCCATTCAAAAGACCAGCTTAAAGGAGCTAAAAGTTGAAGTGGTACTCAAAGAAATCTTTAGGGATACTTTGTAGTAATGGTCTTATGTTAAAGTAGTTCTTGGTAGGTAGTCCTTAGTGCAGGTTTCATTGGATTAATCTTCTGGATAAAGTCAGCTAGATTAAAGTAGTAAAATTTCATCTTCATTCTTATAAAAGAGCAAATCCACAACAAAAAAACTACTTAAGTGCATTTCTTTTTCACTCTCCAGTGAGACACATTGTAATTTTCCCCTTTAGTAAACATTTTGGAGAATTAATATTCTAGAAGTTCTTTCATTACAATAGAAACCCCAATCTATTATATACTATAATTAAGAATGAGTCAGATTGTTTCAAAATCTATTGTACGTTTTTATTGGTGTTACCAAGTGAGTTTTACTCCAACCCTGTTGCATATAAAACAAATTTTATATATTTTTTGCACAAACTTAAAGCTCAGCAAATACAGTTGACTTTAAATTAGTTCAAAAGCAAGGTAGGCTTATGTTACGGCCAAGAACAAGACCAGAAATCGTATCTTGGCTGTACAATATATTTGCTTTAAAGTTAGTTGCAACCAAACAAATGCTAGCACAAGTAACTGAAAATGCTAGTTTTTTAGAAGTTGACTCACACAACATGTACTATATGGGTGCTCAAACTTCCTCACAATCCAGAGCACATCTTAGTATAGAGTTAGTCTGAGGGAACACTTCCCCACTGGTGGCCCTCTCCTCCCATTTGTCATCATGCAACATCTCTCTAACAACTACAGCAGTTGCCTGCCTGTTAGTTATTTATAACTGTTTCTTAATATAATTTAGCAGATGGCAACGAGGAGGAGATAGCACTATGTGATCAGCCAGCTCTCAGCATACCTTCAGTGGTCAACAGACCACAATTTGAGAACCTCTGATGTACAAAAATGTGCTTAGGAGCTCTTGAGAATTCTGTTTGCAATATCAGAGTGGTCTTCTAACCTACTGGTTTGTGGGTCACTGCTTACATCAGAGAGAAATGAGCTTCATTTAAAATAAAAAAGCAATCATATACCCATAAATAGCACTTTGCGGATTCTATACCTACTAGGCTATTGGGGTCCCTCCCTATGACCTTTGTGGGGTTCCTTTTGCTGCCCTAATATCCTAAATGTTTGGTGGGCAATGGAGCTGAGATAAAGCAACGAATTTCTTTCAAAGCAGTAATGGATAGGTCTCCCTTTAAAACAATGCAGGATACTGTTTCAAATGACTGAAAGGTTGATTGCGCACAAGTTGGGGTGCTCCTTCCCATGGAGCTGTGTGCTACTGCATAGAGTCCCCATTGTTATGCAGTGGAAAACCAAATCCAGGATGGGAACCTGGTTCTCCTGTGGCACTATAATGTTACTTCAAGGCTGCAATGTTGTCTCTGTTAGGAATCTGAGCTTTACTTAAATCTCAACTACAAAATTGGTTATGATGCTGTCACATGGTTTTGATGCTTCTTCTTTTTTCTGATGATTAGCTCTTCCACTAGTGAGTTTCTCAGTTGTTTCAACTGCATTTTTCTTTGGAACTGTGATAGCTGTCTCTGATATCAGGTCTTGCATCATCAAGTCAGTCCCTGTTAGCTCTTTAGACTTCTTCTGCCATGTATCTGATCCAGTTGGCCATAAACTGCTAGTAACCAGAAAATCCCCATTACTCCTGGGCATGCGCTTGCCTTGTTTAGATCTTTTGAGATATGATATCTTATTTGCCATTACCACAGTTGACAGAAATAGAAATGTGCAAAGAACAACAAGCACTGCTATTACAATGAAACAAATTAGTAACAGAGATTTCTTTCCTTCACAATTTTCAGTTTTTGTTGTAATGTGGGTCCTGGTGGTGGTCAAAGGGTCTTGAACTGCAGAAGTAAGGTTAAAGCCAGGGGAAGATGTTGAAGGTTCCTGACCAAATGTTGATGATTGAAAGGCGGCTGTCTGCATTTCAAAAGTAGTCGTTGAAATGTCATTGTGATCTGCGTCTTGCGTAATAAGATTTGTACTGGCTTCAGTGGTACTCTGGTTTTCACTTATGTTTTGGGTAATGGTACTCAAATAGCTCTCATTTGTAACCCAGGGATGGTCAGTGTAGTTCGCTCTGATTTGCAAGCACAATGAAAAGATGGTCGCAACAATGAAAGCAAAATGTGGGTTACAGCGCCTTGTCAATTTCATGTTCATATCGGGTAGTTACCTGTAAAAATGTAAAAATATAGTATTAGTTTAGTAAATGTATTCCTGTATTGATGTTGAAGGTTTGAATTGGAGCTCTGTTGAAATGTTAGGCAGATGCTATATCTATAGTTAGACAAGTTTCTCTTTGCAGTAACTTGACTTCATGTATTTTGGGCATGTTATGAAGAGTGTAGCTACTTAAATTCCAAAAGAGTAGGTGTTTTTGTGTTTAGTCTTCAGTATTATTGAACAGATTTCTACAGTGTTAGACTTAAGGGAAAAAAAGAAATTGAAGAAAAGTTCGGGGGGGGGGACATCTCAAATTATTGAGTGATGTTTCATGGGCTGGGGCACATGACTTACGAGGAGAGGCTGAGGGAACTGGGCTTGTTTAGTATGCAGAAGAGGAGGGTGGGGGATTTGATAGCAGCCTTCAACTACCTGAAGGGGGGTTCCAAAGAGGATGGAGCTTGGATGTTCTCAGTGGTGGCAGATGACAGAACAAGAAGCAATGGTCTCAAGTTGCAGTGGGGGAGGTCTAGTTGGGTATTAGGAAACACTATTTCACTAGGAGGGTGGTGAAGCACTGGCATGGGTTACCTAGGGAGGTGGTGGAATCTCCTTCCTTAGAGGTTTTTAAGGCCCAGCTTGACAAAGCCCTGGCTGGGATGATTTAGTTGGGGTTGGTCCTGCTTTGAGCAGGGGGTTGGACTAGATGACCTCCTGAGGTCCCTTCCAACCCCTAATCGTCTGATTCTGTGTGTGCAAATGAGTGAATACTGTCATAGCGCCTTCTCTTTAAAGCTGACCAAGTTGCACCTTTGAATCAATCACTTCTTTTAGAAATACAGGAGAAAACAAGCTAAGCCAGTGGGTCTCAAACCTTTTTTTCACGGACCACTTGAAAATTGCCGAGGGTCTCGGTGGACCACTTAATGATCTTTCCAGATGTTCTTTGTACCGTTAGCTAACTATTGTAAAGCACTTTGGATAAAAGTGCTATATAAAAAAACCATAATTAACATTTTTTTGTTCTACAAATAAAAGCACACAACTCATATTTTAATATCAGTGGTGTAACCTTTCTAATGGATGGCTATGCCCTCCCTCCCCACCCGCTGCAGCCCCCAAGCTGGGGCTGGGAAAGAGGGGTGGGGTCTCTTCCTCTCTCCTCCACTCCAGCAGCCCCCGAGCTGGGGCTGAGAAGGAGGGGGGTCTCTCCCCAGCAGCCACAGCCCTGGAACTGAGGAAAGTCAACTTTCTCTGGCCACTGCAGTCCTGCACATCCCAAATTCCCCCCCACCCCCTCTTCTCACCCACTGCCCCCTCCCACTTACCCCCTATTCTCACCAAGGCCACCACCCCACCTCACGTGTGTCTTTTCCAGGGTCCAGGCACCTAATTAGTGGAGCCATGCCTACATGGCTCCACTAATTAGGTGGGTGGCCCTTCATTCTTTTGTGTGCGGCCACCCAGGTGTGCACCTTAGAGGGAACTATCCGGGGACTACCAGTGGTGCACGGACCACTGTTTGAGAACCTCCAAGGAATATTTATAAAACTCCTGTTCCCACCTCCTACTCTCCTGAATGAGTAATGAAGTAATTTTAAAGGGGGAGGAAATGTAGCCATGTTTAAAAACAAAACAAAAATATACATTTTACACAATCTTAAAGATGACACCAGTAAGTTACTGTATCCGCTCATATTAATCCATTAAAGACCGAATGCAGCTGCCAAGCATCTTTTTTAGTAAATTTCCAGCAAACTGATGTATCTTTTTTGGGTTTACAATATTTCTATTGATTTACTGATGTTTCTGTGGGTTTCTTAAAGAAGAATTGTCCCCTTTTTCCATAATCTAGTTGCATGGATGTTAGCAGCGCAGGAAGCATTCATTAGCTTGAATAAGCTGCATTTATTTTAATTCTTAATTACAATTGACAAATTTGAACCAAGCACTGGGGGCGACTATGCTGCTGGAAGGGGATTGAGTTTGTAACGCAGACATTGCAAAAGCCCAACTTGACAGTGTCCAAGTTGCTTTAATATCAGTTACACAGATAAAAGAAACTTCTATAGTAGTGCAAAACAAAGTATTTTCAGTATAGTCGATTTCTTTTGGGGATTGAAATCGGATGAATAAGGAAAAGTGATCTGGAATTTCTTACACAAGATATAAGTAGTAGTAGCCTCACTAAAATGCAAAAAATGTTTTCACTGAAATATGTGAGATCATGCAGATCATGTTGTTACTAACAGCATGTTTCCATTCTACAATTGCACAGTATTCAAATTTGTGCATCATCTTCAGCCATAGAATTTGGCAAGAAGACAGAATGCTCTGTGACTTAAAAAATTAATACTAACAAAGTAGGCAGGTGATGCGCCATGCCTAATGCTTAGCGTGCTCTGGTATTGTCTTTCCCTTCTTCCCAATATGTAGGTTTTGGGGTTTTTTTGTCTATCTGTTATAGCCTAGGTCCTTATTCTTCAAGAAGGTGATCTCCAGCAGGCTTCTGAACTTGTATAGAGCTCTTTGCAAGATTGAAGGCCTTACATTATAAATTGTTAGCCGGGCAGGGACTTTCCAAGATGTGATTCTACAGTCCTTAGCAAAATGGGACCCACCCAGTCTTGATTGGAATACTTAAATTCTACCAACATACAGAAATAATAATAAAAGTATGAAAATTAACATGATCTTTTTTGAATTGCAGCATTTGCAACCCTCTGATACACCGTTCATTTTGTGTCCGTGATGTAATTTCCTCCAGATTGCATATCTGAAATTAGAGGCTGATCATCCTTATTATTACCTAATTTCCCTGTTTTACTTGTGAATATTAGCAAATTGTATAGTTTTATTCAAGTATTGTATAGTATGTTCTGTTAAAATTAGAATGACTAAATATCATGGCTGTTCTTACCAATGTGCTAAGTATTTAAACTACTGCTTTAAAGATTATTCTGCTGAACAAAATACCTTTTCTTCCACTCAGTGCATCTTAGAAAAGATCTATTTACTTTCAATCATAGTCAAAAGTTGTAACATAACTACCAAAGTACCTAATGCATTGAATCACAAATGTATAGAAAAGTGAACTTGCTAAAGGATTTTGGCATCTTTGCAGAAGCTGAATAGTGATGTCCTTTAGGGTATGTCTACACTACGAGGGTAATTCGATTTTACTTAAATCGAATATGTGGAATCGATATTGCAAAGTCGAACGTGTGTGTCCACACTAAGGACACACTAAGGACAGTAATTCGACTTTGTGAGTCCACACTAACGGGGCGAGCGTCGATATTGGAAGCGGTGCACTGTGGGCAGCTATCCCACAGTTCCCGCAGTCCCCGCTGCCCATCGGAATTCTGGGTCGAGCCGCCAATGCCTTCTGGGTAAAAAAAATTTGTCGTCATCCGTCCGTCACTAACGCCCTCCCTCCCTCCATGAAAGCGCCGGCGGGAAATCAGTTCGCGCACTTTTCTGGTCAGTGACAGCGCGGACGCCACAGCACTGCGATCATGGATCACGCTGCGACCATCGCTGCACTTGTGGCCGTTCTCAACACCTCGCAGCTTATCATACACCTTTCCCTGAGGCAGATGCAGAGAAATCGGGCGAGGAGGCTACGGCACCGCCGTGAGAGCCTGAAGTCGGAGAGTGGCACAGAGCTGTCAGAAACCACGAGCCCCAGCGCCCAGGACATCACGGTGGCAATGGGGCATGTGGATTTTGTTGAACGGCGATTCTGGGCCCGGGAAACAAGCACGGACTGGTGGGACCGTATAGTGCTTCAGGTCTGGGATGAATCCCAGTGGCTGCGAAACTTTCGCATGCGGAAGGGGACTTTCCTCGAACTTTGTGAGTTGCTGTCCCCTGCCCTGAAGCGCAAGGACACCCGCATGCGAGCAGCCCTCACTGTCCAGAAGCGAGTGGCCATAGCCCTCTGGAAGCTTGCAACGCCGGACAGCTACCGGTCAGTCGCGAACCACTTTGGTGTGGGCAAATCTACCGTGGGGGTTGTTGTCAT